AGCTCTATTGAACTTAGACTGCATGCTACTACCAAGAAATGGAAGGCACCCCAGATGGTTCCAATGAAGAGACTACAATATAGGGACAGAGTACAGAGTTATAGGTAGGGATAATGAAAACTAGAAAGAGATGCTGGGACATCCAAAGACTAGCAACAAGCTCTCCATCCCCTAGGAATGAAGACAGGAGGGGAGGAATGGCATTACTGGGGCCTACTGAGAGCTAGAACCATCAGGCTCCATCTAAGATCTGTGGCCATGGAAGGATTAACCAATGCCAGAAACATGGTTATAAAGCAGGAATGGAGTAGGGAAAAGATATGCCTTAACTTCTTTCTCTTTCTGCCCTTGCATCTCCTGACAATACACCTCATTGTTAAAATCAGATAGAAAAGCACAGGGAAGAAATGCAAGGTGCTGTGGTCTGCAGTGGTATGCCTCTGAATACAGCACAGGTGAGAGAGGGTAAGAACTGAATTCAGTGCTGGGGGTGACAGATGACATCCCTCAGTGTGTTGAGATCTCACACCCCTTAGATAATTGACTGTGTATGGCTCTTCCTAGGGGTAATTGATTGACGTACCCTGAGGCCTTACAAAGCTGGTGATTTTGTTCCAAAGACTGAATCCATGGTGGGAAGAACAGGCATCCCCTAAGGGAAGTTTGCAGGGCACCTGGTGTCTCCATTTTCCTGTCTGATATGTGGAAAAAGTGGAGCAAAACCACTGCAAAATGACGACTGACATTTTTAACACTTTTAAGTGAATTTGTGCAAACCAACAGTGTTGTCAGAAGGCAGAAAAGACTCCTCGGGCAGCAACATTGAATCTTTTACTCATGGTCTGGAATGTAATTTCTGCAATCAATTGAGGCAGCAAGGGTAAGAAGGAGAATGAGACACTAAGGCTGGAGAGACAGAGCACCTGCTAGTTCCTGAGGTGGTGTAAAATACTGGCCTCGTTTCAACGTGATTTCCAGGTAAATTTACGCACTTCTTCATCTTGCGGTTGGTGCCTTCCAATTCCATAACGTTGCTGTTTTACAGACGGTGGCTCTCTATTCCATCTTCTCCTGGCAGCCCATGCATGTCATTTCTCTTTCCCAGCTATTTTCTCCCCTCCTCTTGGCCACAAAATAACTTGCCAGCCTGTCATTTCTGAGCAAGTCCCACCTTTGGATCTCCCTTTGGGCAAAGCCATTATACACAGCCTGGGCTGCAGAGGAAAGGAAGGCAAGGCGGGAAACAGTGGTCCTCAGCCTGATTTTGTGTCTGGTCTGTAGCCCCTCATGCAACATTCATAGAAAGTGACAAGGAGAAATTAGCCCCATTGATTTCATTTTCATAACATCTGAAAAACAATCCTTACCAAAGATGCCTTTCAAACATCTTTCTGGCTGAAAATATAGGGTTCTGTCTCAGAGAAAACATGTTTCTGAATACACATCCAGAGCAGTTTCTAAGAAAAGCAGAATCAGAATCAATATTTCCACAGTTTATGCCATTCCCTGCCTTCGTGAAGATATGCAACTTAATTTGCAGGCATTTTTCCTTACCAGGGAAATTGCCTGTGATGCTGACTGGATCAGAACCACTCATTTCAGACTCATTATACATTACACAATATCCCAAATGTCAACTCCTACCCACTACATCGGCATAGCAGCAGCGCTTTCAATAATAAATTACATCTATTTACTTCAATACAGTGGAAAGAGAATTTGAAGCATTAAGAACTCTTTTGCACCTGAAGGTAATTACAAGTGACTATACTGAGCCAGGATTGTGGCTATCTTCACTCAGCTAAACTAAGAATGTTAAAGGCATTTTAGGGAAAAAAGATAAGGTTCTTGCTAGAGCTTTAAAAATTACAAATATATGAATACACACACACAGCAGGCTCCAAATGTTTTCATAGTGTGGAAATCAGTTGCATTGCTTTTATATTAGGACAATTATAAGTGTTTAGCAAAGGGTGCCTGAAGTCAAATAAAAGAGAGGGAAAAAATGACTTTGAGGTTGAAAGTCATCAAGCAGTGAGAGAAAGTAGAGGTCTGTTATTTATATGAAGAGACTTTTTGATTCAATTAACTTAATTAGAAAAATATACAATGAAAAATCTGACAGGAAACTGGTAAGCTGAAATAGTCTTGGAAAAGCTTCCATGTGCTCCAAAATGCGATGGAGTGGGAGGGGAGATGCACCATCACACAGGTCTAGAACACAATGGGGAAATGTTCGACTGAGTCTAAACCAGGGCTATAGGGACAGAAACAGAGAGCACAGCTGGACAGGGCTATAGATTTCTCCTCCAGAGCTATCCACAAAGAAAATGAATGTGTTATTGCGACTAGTTGCTTGGTGTCCTGGCCTTGAAGAGGAAATGAGAAGTCAGAGGAAAAAAGCACTTCACAGGCTGCTAATAAAGTCTCTTGGGAGAGAACTATGTTATTTACTTACTTGCTGTATCAGTCAGGGCATACTAGGTTATGCTGGAGTAACAAATATCCCTGAATGTTAGTGGCTTATTATAAAAGAAGACTATTTCTTGCTAATGCTCTGTGTCTAAGCACAAGCTTTCAGGGAACTCTATTCCTGTGGCCACTCATGGATTGGGGCAGCCCAGGCACCACTTCCACCCATCTCTCTCCATGATTCACACAGTCAGGGACTGACCACATGGGCAATTAGGACCTGGGTCAGGAAGTAACACACATCACTTCCACTCGCATTTCACTGGCCAAAGCATGTCATATGCTGCAACACACTTCAAAGAGGGATGGGGAAGTGTGGTCCTCCCATGGGCTCTGAAGGAGGGAGGAGTGGAATCATCACCATCAGCCTCATGACTGCCATCTCACTCAATAGAATTCCAGCCAAGCAGACACCAAGAACGTTCTCTCCCCTGCAGCCCAGTATCAAGAGGCCAGATAGGAAAAACAGCAACAACAGCAACAGCAAAATTTTTCTCTTATTCTCTAATTAAAAATACCTTATTCTCTAACTGGTTAAAATCAAGCAAGAGCTTAAAAACTCATAAAACAGGCTGGGCGTGGTGGCTCATGCCTGTAATACCGGCACTTTGGGAGGCTGAGGCTGGCAAATCACTGAGGTCAGGAGTTCAAGACCAACCTGGCCAACATGGTGAAACCCAGTCTCTACTAAAAATACAAAAATCAGCTGGGCATGGTGGTGGGTGCCTGTAATCCCAGCTACTCAGGAGGCTGAGGCAGGAGAAATGCTTGAATCCGGGAGGCGGAGGTTGCAGTGAGCGGAGATGGCGCCATTGCACTTCCAGCCTGGGCTACAAGAGCAAAACTCTGTCTCAAAAATAAATAAATAAATAAATAAATAAATAAATAAATAAATCATAAAGCAACAGTTTCTTGCAGCTCTATATGGGGTATTATTCAGCAATACAGTGATTTGCTAGAAGGAAGCATCACACAACAGTACAAGAGTAGCTCACGAGAGAGAGAGAGGGGGAGAGAGAGAGAGAGAGCAAGCATCGAGCCCAAGAGGCTCCTTCAGTAGGGCTCCAGCAAAGCCTGGAAGAAGAGGGCGGGAGGCTAAGGCACTCACAGTGTCTTACTCAACACGGCGGCACTGTTGGGCAAGCAATACTACCGCCATTTACCACAAAGGAAGGAGTTTCTAAGAGATCAAATAACTGTCCCAGATCAGGCAGCTCACACATGCAGGTCTAGCAGGAAATTAAATATGGTGATGTGGGAAGCAGAGGAAGGAGCGAAAATGAGACTGCAGATTTGAGGCGCAGGGAAACCAGGAAAACATATAAAGCAGTTACACTGGTGTAAAATGTAAAAGCTTCAGTCTGCTTACTACAGGGGCAAATTGACCTCCATGTCCCAAAAGGCAGGCTCTGACAGTGTCTGAGGGTCTGTGCATCAGGCACGAGAGCGCAAAAACAAAAATTCAAAACCACCTCCAAAATACGCCCGAGTGTATTTCCTTACAGTGCAAGAAAGAATGCAAACTATAAAATATGAAAAACTTTCCTTCCAAAATGATTAATGTATTTTGAAGAATTTTGATTTCAAAGGAAACAAATTCTCACTAACCAGCAAAACATGACAATCCAGAATGACTCATTCCTGAAGCCTTCTGATTCTGGAACCTATGCCTGAGACCTCCTCAGAGCTGCTGAAAAAGGATGAGAGCTGGGACTGACACCACAGAAGTTCCTGACCTCCATCCACTGCCCATTCCAGACTGGATGCATTAGTGGACTGTATTTTCATTGGTTTCTCTTGCTGTTTAGTCCTGCTGTGAATATGGAATAGAGAGGGCAGCTCAGTAGGAAGCATTCCAGCTCCCATCCCACTGCAGAGATATAGATAAAGTTTCATCCAAGTACACACACACAGAAACACACACACACCCATACATGCACATACACACACATTCATAAACACATAATATACATATACACACCCATACACCCAACATACACAAATACATGCACACATGTATATACACACATACCCATACACATACACACACCCACAAACAAATCTATAGACAAATACATACACCCATATGCCCAGATACACACAAAAGCACAACACACACACATGCACACACATACACCCACACAAACATAAACACATACATACACAAATATACACACTCACACATCCATCGACACATATCTATACACACCCATACACCCGTACACACTCATACACCACACACATCCACACATATATACACACATACACACACATATACACACACATTACACACATCACACACATTACACACATCTGTAAACACATACACACCCATACATACACACAACACACACATACATATACATATACACACATACCCATGCACATATGTGCATTACACACAACACACACATACACACACAAACACACCCATTCAGATACACATACACACAACACATACACACACATACCAATACACACATGCACACACAACAGACACACATATACATATATACACATGCACACATATGCACATGCAACTCATATGCACACACAACAGAGACTCCAGAGTTATCAGCCTTACATTGTCACCATTAGAGGCTCCTTTCTTTGAATCTCTTAAAAGACCAACCTAAAATTGGGGAATAAAAATGTGCATTATCTTCCTGGATCTCACTTTATGGTTTTAAGTGTATTCCTGTTCCCTCTCTGAATCTTGGCTCCCCATCTTTAAAATTAGAGCAGTGAACAAAATGTATATATTAAAGGGTGTTCTGTGGAGCCCTAGTCCCAGGAACTGTTAGGAGTTCTAAGGCCTTGTAGCCAAATAAGATTGGGAAGGCCTGTGTGTCTTACTGGAATTTCTCAGGACATTCAATGTGCTGCTCTGTGAACAAATCCTTTGGAAGCACCATGTTATCCACCCTTCCTTAATTACTCTGACCGTGGAATCCCCCCTAGTATGTAAGGTGCTTAGGAAACAGGCTCGGAAACCACTCAGCCCCGCCCTCACAAGGCCCTCTGCAGCCATCACACTCATCACCCAAGAACGTAGCTGCTGTCATCATTACCCTCAGAGGCTCAGAATGTTAGCTTCAGCCTCGCTAACAGCAGAAGGGAACGCCTGGGGAAAGGACTGTTCTAGGTGAAGGAGGAGTTGGGGACGTGCAGATGGTAGCAGGAGGCTTTGTGAAGGAGAGGCCAAGGGGTTCACCAGGGCCAAACTTGGCAGCCTTGCTCACAGGAGTCTACAGATGCTGCTAGCTCAGCCTCAAATCTCAGACAGACCATCGCATCCCTACTGCAAACAAGACAGGTGTGCTCCTCCAAACAAGCATGGCTCTGGGGCTGGCATCTGATTCTGATATTTCTTGGACCCTCATCTTGGGTAAGTCCTCATTACCTAGAAATTTCAGTTTCCACTTCCTGGTTGAAATTCAAGAGCAATGAAATTTTAATGCTTGGCCCTTTGTATTAGAGGCTGAAGAGGGCAAGGGGGTGGGCAATCGGTGAAGACATGCTGGACTAGCTACACTATTTGCTGGGTCCCTTATACAAAAAGCAGAAAAAGCATACAAAATATCACTAATGAAACATTCTATACTATGTGTATTTTGTCCTAATATAAAAGCAGAAAAAGTGTAGTTAAAGGCACTAAAATATAAAGCCTTATCCTTTAAAAATAATGTTATTTGTAATACATTAAGGTCATAATGATATTCAACAATATAAATTTAAAATTAAGAGAATATTTTTGTGTCATAATTTATACAATACAACAAATAACAATGTATCAATATAATACCTTAATTGATGATAAAATTTTCAGGCCTATATTTTTGCAAATTCATTTATTAGGTCATCAGAAATTTTACTTTTAGCAACTTAATTTCCAATTGACATACTTCAAAGCAATGTCAGTCACTCGGCAAATATAAGCTCACAAATAATTTTTGAAAATGATTTTCTTTTGCTAGTTTAGTTCTTATTGGAGCTGTTAAAAATTGTTTGTGACAGTATTGGGATACATTTCTGAAAAGATTTTAGTAAAACTAAAGATGATAATTTTTGTGGAACAAATTTTCTAAGAGGTTTTATGTCTTCCTATCAATTGGCTTTGCATAATTCTGAATTTAATTGTAAAGGCAAGTTCATCCAATGTCATTTTAATGTGTCCTCTGAAATTCCCTGAAATTGGTGAAGATCGTACAAAAAAAGAAAGGACTTCCTGCTTTGTACATAATTTTAAATGTTTGTTTATGTATTCTATCACCGTATGTTTACATTGATAAATTACAAAAGATAATTTTAGAATTAGTTCCCTTCTTAGGAGACACTTTATATGAAACATCATACGCAAATGGTGTTCTTTTATGTTGACTATGATGATCTTTAAGTTCAGTTTCTAATCCTGTGGTTATCTTCTTTGCAATGTTGCAGCAGTTTTTAGAAGTTTAAAGGCTTTAATATTTGAAATCCCTGATATGCTTTATAGCAATGTACATGCATATGCTTTTATTCTGTAATGATTTATTGACAAAATTTACCACCTGACCGCTCGAAGTTCATTCAGGCTTAGGAGATGTTTTTCCAGCAGCTCGAGAAATTACTTCTTGGGAGGACTTCCTATGCTCCAGGGACTTTACATGCCTCATTTCTCTTAATTCTCACAAGCAGCCAAAGAGATGGGTGATACCACACCCATTCTGTAAATGAGCAAACGGAGTGGCAGACGGTTCAGATTTGCATTCCGGTCTGTCCAGTGGGCAGAGCTGGAAGCATTGCCACTTCAGCTCCATGAAATCCTGCAGAGCCAGAGGCCCGGATCAGAGGCTCCTCACTCACAGTCCAGTCCTCACTTCGGTCCTGGTTCATCAGTTTTTATGTGGAATTTGAATGGACTGAGTTCCCAAAGCCTGAAACACAGTAAGAGGAGTGAGTCAGATGTGTGAGGTATGTTTGTGGGGAGGAGGGAGACGCTCTAGGAGGCTTTCATAGGCGACAGTGGAAGACAAGGCAAAAAATAATCATTTCCTCCTGATCAGACACAATGATGCCTCTCTGCGGCAGGCTGGCATTGAATGGCTCTGCACAATGCAGCAGGCTCTGGTCCTGTACTTTCATTATTATTCCTATCTTAAGTCCCTGTTAGAGCACAGCAAATGCTCCACCAACAAATGGCAGACACTTGTGTGAAGAGAAGCCCTTGAATGTATTTGGGGGAAATACAGAGGGTGAAAATTATGGAACAACTCCAAGGTTGAAGGTAAAAGAACAGGCTTCAGAAGGAATTTTGCAGATGAGGTCAGTGTAAGTAGGTTGAGGAGCCTCATGGTGGAATTCTCTCAGGTTCCCAGGGGATCCCGGCAATTCTCAAGCACCCAGTACAAAGTCTGAAAACTATGGATCCAACAGACCAACAGACAGTGCGCTAGCCTAGCCTCGTTTTTTTATTTTTATTTTTTTGATGGAGTTTCGCTCTGTCACCCAGGCTGGAGTGTAGTGGTGCAATCTCGGCTGCCTACTGGGTTCAAGCGATTCTCCTGCCTCAGCTGACTGAGTAGCTGGGATTACAGGCGCCCACCACCACGCCCGGCTAATTTTTGTATTTTTAGTAGAGACAGGGTTTCATCATGTTGGCCAGGCTGGTCTCAAACTCCTGACCTCAGGTGATCTGCCCGCCTCAGCCTCCCAGAGTGCTGGGATTACAGGTGTAAGCTACCGAGCCCTGTGCCCCCGGTCTCCTTCTTAGAAGAAAAATTGTCAACTGATAACTCTGAGCAAAATGCTTCATTCATATATAGTATATAGGAGCTTAGGATTTCTCACAGTGAGCTTGAAATTTGGAAATCCCTACTGTTTGTCTATCTTGAAGACTACCATTATCTTCTGAATCTATTAAGAAATGCAGTTCAATTTGGACCATGAAGAAGACTGAGGAGGAACATTATTCTTTTTAATAGCTGCATAATATTTCACTTTAGGATGTAATCAAAATCTATTTAATCAATTCTGTTTTGGTGGCATTTAAAAAGTTTTCCTGAATTTTTGGCTCTTAAAAACAATACTGGCTGGCACGGTGGCTCATGCTTATAATCTCAGCACTTTGGGAGGCCAAGGTGGGTGCATCAAGAGCTCAAGAGCACGAGACTAACCTGGCCAACATGGTGAAACCCTGTCTCTACTGAAAATACAAAAATTGGCCAGGAGCAGCGGCTCACACCTGTAATCCCAACACTTTGGGAGGCTGAGGCTGGCGGATCACCAGGTCAGGATATCGAGGCCATCCCGGCCAACATGGTGAAACTTCATCTCTACTAAAAATACAAAAATTAGCTGGGTGTGGTGGCGGGCGCCTATAGTCCCAGGTACTAGGGAGGCTGAGGCAACAGAATCGCTTAAACTCGGGAGGCAGAGGTTGCAATGAGCCGAGATGACGCCACTGCACTCCAGCCTGGTGACAGAGCAAGACTCCATCTCAAAAAAAAAAAAAAAAAGAGAGAAAGAAAAAATTAGCCGGGAGTGGTGCCAGATGCCTGTAATTCCGGCTACTCAGCAGGCTGAGGCAGGAGAATTTCTTGAACCCAGGAGGCGGAGTTTGCAGTGAGCCAAGATAGCACCACTGCACTCCAGCCTGGGTGACAGAGCAAGACTCCATCTCAAACAAACAAACAAACAAACAAACAAACAAACAAAAAACTAAAACAATACTGCCATTGACATCCTTGTAAATCTTACTGCACACTTTCAGAGGCCATCTGCCCACAGGAATTATTCCAATTTAACCTTCACAAGAATCCCATGTGTCAGGTATTATCCTTTTGGCGGATGTGGAAACTAAAGTTCATGAAGACCTTTTTTATGGCTAAGGTTCCATAGCTGTTAAGTGATGGGACACTCATTCTGTGACTTACCCACTGCTCTGTGGAGGGAAACTGTGAAAACAGAAGTGTCATAGGCGTGCAATCTCACTGATAGACAATGAAACTCACTGTGGTGAGGGGTGCGGGGGAGGCCTCAGGAAGGCCAGGGAAGGCTTTTTGAAGAAGGGGGTTGAGGCTTGACTTTGAGGTCAGGCTTCAACAGGCATCAAGGAAAACACCCCCTTCCCCCGTGTGAAAGGCCTGGAGGGAAGGAAGGATGAGGAGCTGTGGGGCAGGGGAGGCAGCAGCATTGAAACTGCCCATCTGAGCACGCGGTCACGGTAGCTTGGAGACCCCAGCTCTCTGGACAGAGGCAAAGGTTGGGGTCAGAAGCCTTGAATGCCAGGAAGGCTCTTCCTTCCTCAGTCCACCTTCTTCCCCCACACAGGCAGTGTTCTGGTGACTGTCTCAGAAGGATCCTCACTCTTCAGCTTTGCACAGAGTCAGAGATGGTTGCTGATGACCTGGGAGCTGTGGACACCCTGAGCATGGTGCCCTCCATGACTGAAGCTGCTCCTACGAAGGCTTAGGAGACACACAGGTGAGGAGAAAGCAGCTCAAGAACTCTGGGTCCCTGGTCTAATGCTTCTTTATCTTGTTGAATGTAAGAGAAAAGCTGAAGACTCAGGAAAGTTGGGAGTAAACTGTCATTTTACTGCAAGAGCAGCCATGTGGGGAGCGGAGCTTCAGTTGTGTTAGAGATGAGAGAGCTGAAGAATGCCTGGCAGTGGCCCGGGGGGCACACGTCACGAAAACCAAGAAGTCCTGGTGGCTGATTACTCTTTCTTTGAATTCTTAGGGTTTTTTATTTTTAAAAATAAATTTTATATGAGTCAAACATAAAGTCTGCTTTTCTTACAGTAAAATGCCAATATTTAAAGGTAGAAAGAGAATAGATTGAAATGTAATAAGCTTTTGTCTCATCACCAGAAGCTTAAGGAGGCTCAAGGAACAGCATAAAGCGTGGAATACTTCTGGAGAAAAAAAGAGAGGAGGTCTGTGCCCTGCGATGGCCTCTAGGATTTGTTGAGTCAGTCACCCAATACGTATTCAGTGAGCGTCCATCGTGTGCCAGGATAGGGCCGTGCAGGGCATGGCTGTGAACAGACGCACCTGCGCCTTCTTCCTCACCCTTGTGAAGCTCATGGTCCGCACAGGGGCGGGGGTGCAAGAGGGAGGCCAGTGGGACCAAGGGAGTCAAGTGGACTCGAGAGCAAGTGAAGGGAAGAAAGTCCTTCCTCCAGGAGTAACCCCTGAGCCAGAATGACTGTGAAATCTTTGGGAGTCTTCCATGTGCCAAGTGCTTTAATACGTGAGATAATTTACAACAACAAGAGATCAGTATTCATATCTACAGCTTAAGAACTAAAAAAAAAAATTACTCAGAGAGAGGAAGCAATTTTCCCATGTCACATGGCCAGTAAATCACAGAACCAGGGTTCTTTGCCACTTGTATTTTTCACATCCTGTTCCTTGGCTTCTCTGGAGCGCTGGTCCCCATTTAGATGAAACATCCCCAAAGTAAGTCCCTATCTTGGAGAAAGCTGGGGACATATTATCCCTCTGCTGCCCAAATCTGGGAACTGGGAGGCAGGAGCCTTTTGCATTTTGGAAATCCAGCTGTTTTCTTTTTGCACCTAGAAGCTGGGGGACAGAGGGAATTGCTTATTTTCTGGAAAAACCTGACAAATTTTTACATCTTTGGGAGGCATTTCACACTCCTCCTTTTCTCCTCATCCTCCCCACATGTCCCGAAGCTGTTTGAATTCCTTCCTCACTTGGTGCTTAAATGCTTTGAGCCTGATGAGAGGAGGAACCTGACTCTGGGAAGTGGAGTGGAACTCAGCTGGAAATTACTGGAAGGCTGCACATGTCTAAGCGCACTTCAATTTTTTAAATTGGACTTCAAATTTAGAATATAGCAGGTCCCTTCAACAAGTGAGTCCCTTCTGTAAACTTAAGTCATGCCCTCTACTGGGATACCAGCATCCCGTTGCTTCCAAGTTGAGGTGCTTATGAAAGCAGCTCTGTATCAGTTGGGGCTAAGCATCGGGTACCCATGGACACAAAGATGGGAACCACAGACACCAGCGACCACTACAGAAAGAAAGGGTGGGGACAAGGGATGAAAAACCACCTGTTAGGTACCATGCTCACTACCCGAGTCACAGGATCATTTGTGTCCCAAACCCCAGCATCACACATATACCCATGTAACAAATCTGCACATGCGATCCATGAAGATAAAATGAAAGTCAGAATTGTTTTTCAAGAGTGGCTTGAATGGCTGTGACAACCAACACTGAATGAGGGGTGTGTGGAGGACAGAGGCCACCACAGTTTCCTGAGAGCCCAGAGCTGCAGTGGAGGCTCTCATTCAATCATTCACTCATTCAACAGAAATAAACTGAGTGCTTGCTGCACACAACAAGCCCAGGGAAAGCATGGGGGCGTGTGACAGTGGCCTGCCTGCCCCCTGGAGTGCACACACAGGGCAAGTCTCTTTCCTCAGTGTAGCTACTTTGATAGTCAGAAACAGCAAGCACCAGAATAACTAGGGGGTGAAAGGGCTTCCTGCCAGCCTCACTCAGTCTGTTTGTGTCTCTCCTGGGAGCCCTTGCCTTGCTGAGTCAGTGCTCAGACTCGAGCAGGGTGCACCTGTTCGGAGAGTGCTCCAGGGCAGCATGGAGGGTCAGACGGGATGTGGGAGGAGGGGAGCGAGCTTCTGAGGAATGAGGGGGCTGAAGGGAGAGCAGGAAGACATGTGAGTGGGCAGAAGCCTTGAGTCTGAATCTCCAGGAGGCTCCACAGTGTCGTCGGGATCTGAGAGCTGGGGACTCAATGCAATTTAACAAACCCGATCTCCCCCTCTTCTCAAGGTTCATTGCCAGCATCACTGGGGAGAGATTTATCAAGATTGCAATGTAAACTTAGGGGTAAGCTTTCTCTTCAGACATCTATTTCCAAAGTATGGTTAATTCTGCTTTATGTCTTGCTTGCTGGATGATATGCAAATGTGTTGACTGATCTCATCTCTTTGCTGTGATACTCAAACACACTTGGGGAAATTAAAACAGTAATGCCATTCATTAATGACCACTTAATAATTTACAATCAAGATGCAACTTGCTGTGTAAATCAGCAAAGTCAGGTTTGTTTGAAGTGTAAACAGGAAATAATCTATGAGTTTATTTGCTAATTGTACTTATAATTGACCCTAGAAGACCTTGCTGAATTCAACCCAGGAGATATATTATTTTCTCACTCATCTGATTAGTTTCAGCATGTTAATGAGGCCCAGACACCCACTTTAAGATAGTTGTTTGGCTTACTTGCATTTGGTGCATGTAAATATCTCTCCACAACAGTGATATTTTACTGATTACCCAAGTTTGTGCATGAGTCGTGATCTATCAATGGCTGGTCTTTCTGCTTCGCTCAACTAGACAGAAGTCCAGTGAGGGAAGAGACTATTCCTGTTGTGTTCATAGTTTCATTCAACGACAAGCACAGCTGTTTAAGAAATGTCTGTAGAATGAATGCCATCAATCCCAGGGACATTGGTTGCTCCAGCAGTGGTCCCTACGTGACATGGCAGGTTCTGTTTTATAATTATGCAAAAAAAAAACAGCAGTGAGCAGTGGGAAAAGCCTGGGGCCCTTCTTGTGCTCTGAGCTCACACCAGCACCCCCTAAAACACACAGACACATATATGCATGTGTGCACATCCACACGCACACACGTACACAGCCTGCGCCTCCTTGAACAACCAAGGGTTTCACCAAGAACAAAAGAGACATACTCTTGTAGCCAGATTTACATTCCCCTTTTGTCAAACTCATTGCTCAAATCTCTTTCATTAAACTCAAATGTGTGATCTGTAAATACCAAAATGTGGCAGTTTCATAAAGAATTTTATTAACAATTATTCTGATGTAACAGGGATTTTAGAGCCAGGAAGCACTTCACCCTCATAGGCGCTGTCTTGCTATAAATTCTGTGATGCTGGCTGAGAATTTATTCTCTCTGAACTTAATTTTTTTCGTCTGTCAAACGGAGCCAATAGCAAACAAACTAAGATTATATTGTTGCTAAACTTACTCAACACAAGGTAGAATAATGAAGTATTATATTTATCTATTAAACTAGCAGGCTTTTTTAAAAGATAGAACCGGCCAGGCATGGTGGCTCACGCCTGTAATCCCAGCACTTTGGGAGGCCAAGGTGGGTGGATCACGAGGTCAGGAGCTCGAGACCAGCCTGATCAACATTGTGAAACCCCGTATCTACTAAAAATACAAAAATTAGCCAGGCATGGTGGTGCGTGCCTGTAATCCCAGCTACTCAGGAGGCTGAGGCAGGAGAATTACTTGAACCCGGGAGGCAGAGGTTGCAGTGAGCCGAGATTGTGCCACTGCACTCCAACCTTAGCGACAGAGTGAGACTCTGTCTCAAAAAAAAAAAAAAAAAAAAAAAGATAGAACCCAGTGTTGGTCAGGAGACACAGAAATGCATGTGCGCACACTTATGCTGGTGGTGTACATTGGCAGACGTTTCTGAAGGGCAGTTTGGCAGTAGGTATCAACAATCTGAACATATTGACCTAGTCATTGTTCTTCATAGATTTGATCCTAAAGTGCTAATCAGAGATGCGACAAACTTTGATGAACAATCTTGTTTTTAAAGTGCTATTCATAATTACATAACATTGAAATAACTCAATATCCAACAATACTTAAATAAACCAAAGCACACTCATATAATTACACGGCATGAAACTCTTAAATCGTAGTTTAATGTGCATTACTAATAAGATTGTATGTAGTTTATAACTGTGCCTACATCAACACTAGTAAGATATATCTGTCTTACAAAATGTATACAAAGGAGAGAGACCGACAGAGAGACAGGCAAAAAGAAAAACAGAAACAGAGAGAGTAGGAAGAACACAGTTGACACCTAGCATTACCTCAACTTTGTATACATGTGTGCATATGCCTACATGGATGAGAAAACGTCTAAAAGGACACAGAGCAATATTTTAACAATGACTATTTGGGGAGCTGTAAAATCATACATTTTTAAGATTTTCTTCCTTGTGTTTTTCTGTATTTGTGAATATTCCTATCCCTTTTGAAACCAGAAACATTTATTTTAAACTTACTTTATAGATGTGAAGGTACTGAACCATTGTGACATATTCTTGTCTTGTTCCTTCTGGTGACTTCTTCCACCTCTGAGGACTAGGGGCTTTGCTTTCCTTCCTCTCAGGGTCCACTGACCTAGAACGGAGCCGCCTGAAGCATGCCATCCAGAGGCCCGAAGTTCCAGGCCCGAGCAACCAGCCTGCCTGTGACAGCGAAGGCAGGCAACATATTGATCGCTGTGGTTGCTCCCTGTGCATTTAAATAATAGATCATGGACTGTGGCTGTGGAGAGAGGAAAATCCTGGCCGCCACTCTATCATTTCCCCAGCCATGGATTTTGTCATTACTGTATTTGCCTTGTGTTACAGTGGGCGAAGATTGTATTTGTGATTGATGGCAGCAGATGGGCAATTTATTCTGCTGTTTACTTTTTATGGCGGTGGATGTGGGAGTAAATGCAGCCAGAACACTTGGCTAAGCATTTGCTAATATCCTCTATTGACTGAGACACACAGGGAGTTTATCTGAGGTCCATGGACACAGCCTTCACATGGAAAAGGGGCCCAGGATGCTCAGGAACTGCGCACTCAGGGACCGAGGAAAGGGGTGCCAGGTACTTGACACCAGTTAACCTGTGTAAGCACCATGATCGGCCAAGAAGCAGATGTGATTATCTTCACTTTACAGGTAAGAGGGGCGGGGAGATGGTCTCCAAGGTCACACAGCTGGTGGGTATTACAGCTAGAGGTTAAGGGTAGGTCTTGTGATGCTAAAACCTATTTTAGTGTCTGGGTTCTGGTTTTTTTAGAATTAGATTTTAAAGCAAGGACCGATTAAGGAAATTCTGAAATATGTCTGTGCACACACACACACACACACACACCAAGGGTGTGAAAGAAGCAGGACAGAAAACAGAAAGAAGGAAACCAAGCAAGAGTGTGATTTCAGGAGAAGCCCCAGACATAGGCAGACCCCACAGGGAGTACTGGAGCATGAGTTGACCTCAGAGTCTGTCCTGAGCCTAGTGGGCAGCTGTGCGGGGCAGCCTCATACTAGCCAGTCACTGGCTGTGAGCCATCCTGCATTTCCCATGGGCAGGGCCACTTCAGCATCTTAGGGCTGTCCCCCAAAGAAGGACCAGCAGGCCAGGCGCGGTGGCTCACGCCTGTAATCCTAGCACTTTGGGAGGCCGACGCAGGCAGATCACAAGGTCAGGAGATCGAGACCATCCTGGCTAACACAGTGAAACCCCGTCTCTACTATAAATATAAAAAATTAGCTGGTTGTAGTTGCGGGCACCTGTAGTCCCAGCTACTAGGGAGGCTGAGGCAGGAGAATGGCGTGAACCCGGAAGGCGGAGCTTGCAGTGAGCCGAGATCGCGCCACTGCACTCCAGCCTGGGCGACAGAGCGAGACTCCATCTCAAAAAAAAAAAAAAAAAAAGAAAGAAAAAGAAAAGAAGGACCAGCAAACAGCAAAGCACGGGGTTGTAGGGCCGGCTTGTAGAGTTAGTGACAGGGATCTAAGGGGATTTTGGCAGGGAAGTTTTGCAGGACAGGGTCCCAGGTCAGCAGTCTGGAGGTTTGAGCTAGCCTTCAACTGAAAAGGACCTCTGAGTCAGTTTCCTCAAGCCAGTATCTGGCAAGGGAACAGCGGGAAGTGTTTGGGGAGGAGAAAAGGAGCTCTGCTGGTCTGTGCCTCACCTGTCAGAGACATGCCCTGAACACACCCGGCATTCTACTGTGGCCCACCATGAATCTCACCCCCCCCATTTTTTTTTTTTTTTTTTTTTTAAGAAAAATACCCTTAAGCGTGTTGCTTTTATTAATTCCAAGGACTCTAGGACCAAAGTTCTGATATTGGTCATAACTACCAAGACTTGCTTTAATTTGACTGGGATGGTCTCCGTTTCCTCTGGGGCAAAAATAAAGTTAATGTTTAAAAAATAAACGTTCAATTTTATAATAATTTTAGATCACAGCAGAAGCATTGCAAAGATGATACCGAGAGTCCCCATCTACCCCTCAGCAGCTTTCCATAATGTTGACATCTTAAATTCCCGGGGCACATCTGCCAAAACTGAGAAATTAACATTAGCACGTCACTCTCCACTAAACTACAGACTTTAATTAGATCGCAGCAGTTTTTCCGCCAATGTCTTGTTTCCATTCCAGGATTCTATCAAGGATCCATGCTGCCATCAGCGACTTTGCTCCTCTGATTCTTTTCACCCTGAAAATGCTTTTCCTCCATTTCTACACATTGTAACTCTCAATCAAGGGTAAGTTCTGAAACCAGTCCACACACTCGTTTATTTGTTCCTTCAGGCATTTATTCAGCGTCACTTATTTGGAGACTCCTCGGTGCCAGGAATTAACCCAGTTCTGAGACTATGGTGATGAGCAGGAACATTACATGTGTGTTCTTGAGGTGCTCCCAACGACTGGGGGAGGCAGACACTCATTAAAGGAACACACACATAGGCGTGACGCCACAGGCTGACAAGTGCTGCAGAGAAAGACAAAGACACCATGAATACACTTCTGTATGGCCGGGCAGGGCCAGACAAGGAAGACTCCAGGGTGTCAGCCTATGCAGCAGGTGACTGGTACCCTTCTGAGAGGGAGGACAGGGGAGAAGCATTGGGTTTATAGGAGCAGGCTCATGAGTTTGGTTTGAGATACCCAAGCCGAGACCTCAGGCAGGCAGGTGGAAAGATCTGTCAGGACCTCAGGATAGTGGCCTACTCTGTTCCAGCTGGATACGGTTTTTTCTCTTTTAATTTTGACTCCCATGACACTGTATCTATTTTATAACACTTACCTTAATCAATAAGAAAGGCAATTTACCTTGTTCTAGAGCTGTTTTTCTTCCTAACTTATCTTCTGTCATGTCATAGGCAATAAGCTTCACAGAAGCATTCTTTATCTGTCTTTCGCACACCACCTGTTTCAGTATTCTATACTCATTGCGGGCTTAATCAATGTTTATCGTGCTGAATTGGAAGGCATGCCAGTTGATAACATCACAGATATCGGACTGTATCTGTGGAATGGGCTTGATTTTCTAAAGAGAAAGTCAGACTGGTGCTTCTCAAACTACCCTTTCCAGGTACTTCTGTTGGACATCACAGGGCAGGCTCTGGGGACTGCAGGCCACCACCCCCATGAAAGGGGGTGTCAGTGGCAGGAGGTTGTCCCACAAAAGGGAGAGTTTCACGGCCACTTACATTTATGAAGCTCTGAGTTAAACTTATTTTATTTACTGTAACAATTTCAAAGAGGAAAAAGACTATGAAATATTTTCAAATGTATGAAAAACTCAGCCTTCCAGTGCCCCCCCCCCCCCCCCCCCGCTGATATGTAGAGTATCTAATAGAACGAGTGCACTTGAGAATGGTTCTGAAATGCTACAAATGCCACCTGGTTTCCTTATAGCTCATTCATAGTGGCCAAAATTCCTGCATAATGAAGTGATACATCATATACACAGAATGGGTATTTCTGTGGGTCCTCAGAAATGACCAGGGACAACATTATGTCACATTTTCTTCACTGGGAACATCACCTGCAGCCCCCAGAGCCTGTCCTGTCCTTGCCCTTATGTAGGTGCCCCGAGTACACACGCTTGTGGCTCCTGCATACTGCATAGCACAGGCACTGGGCTGGGTTGGCAGCTATCATTCCACAGAGCCAGCCCTGTCCCTGATGTCGCAGAGCACTGGGTCTCCTGTGCCAGCCAACACCAAGCAGCCCAAGGTAGGGCATAAGCAGCACAAAATGTGTACAGGGACTCACAGAAGGAGTCAAGACATGTGTCCCAGAGAACTGGAAATTGAGTGTAAGCTCAATTAATTGGCCAATGTAGTTGAGGCAGAAGGAGGAAATATTTGTATCAGGAAGGTCAGATGACAGAGAAACAGATGGGCCAGGGCATGGCATGAGGAGAATCAGTTTGTGGTTGAAGCTAAGAGAAGGTGAGAGTGATGGAAGCTTTGGCTCTTCTGCAGCTCCACTTAAGCAGCTACTCAGGGCCTGGGGATGGGACCCACAGCATGAGGGCGGGTCCAGGAGCACAGCTGGAAAAAGTACAGCCCAAGATTGTCCATCATCCCAATGTTCAGGAACATATGCCCATGACACGGAGGGAGCCCCCTGCTCCTTGTCAAGGAGGAGTGACATTCCCAGAAAGCCTTCCCTCTATGCAGGATGTGGTGAGCGGCATCCTCTTTGTCAGTGACACAGGGGAGAGGATGGAGGGGAGGGAGGCTCCCAATTGCAGCTACCGCCTTTCACTCTGCAGCACTGCACAGCCCCTGGGCATGGCAGAGGCCCCTGACAGCCATAACTGAAGCTGACCCCGAGAATGACCCTATGGTCTAAGAAGAATGTGTGTTCAGAGTTCTGAGCTAAGGAATCTGAGCTGCACTCACAAATCCACTCCTGGCCAGGTGCAGTGGCTCATGCCTGTAATCCCAGCACTTTGGGAGGCTGAGGTGGGCTGATCACTTGAGGTCAGGAGTTCAAGACCAGCCTGGCCAACATGGCAAAGCCCTGCCTCTACTAAAAATACAAAAATTAGCCGGGCATGGTGATGCGTGTCTATCCCAGCTACTAGGGAGGCTGAGGCAGGAGAATTGCTTGAACCAGGAGGCAGAGGTTGCAATGAGCCAAGATCATGCCACTGCACTCCTAGGTGACAGAGTGAGACTCTGAAAAAGAAAGAAAAGAAAAGGGGAAGGGAAGGGAAGGGGAGGAGAGGGGAGGGGAGGGGAGGGGGAAGGGGAAGGGATCCACTCCTTATCCATGAAGGACATCTGAACCCCTGGCCCCCCCTTAGAACCCAGTCTGTACAGCGAGTCGAGGTCCTTTGTTTTGGGTTAAGTGGAGGGTGCTGCGTGAAATGCTATATGAATGGCATACTTTTTACAAACTGTAGTGGTTCTCCTGTCCAGCCTGCTGCTACTGGACCACACTCTATGCAAATTCCCTCAATAAACCCTGTGTCTTGGTTGCTGTCATCTAGGCACAGAAAGACGGCCTAGAGGAAGGTTGACATTAGAGCTTCTTGTTGTCATGCAAATGTGGGGTCAGTCTTCCTGCCCACTTCCAGACTCTCCTAGTTGTGCTTTGGATCCCAGGTGGCTTGTCCAGTGCACACTTTCTAAATCTCACCTTCCAGGGACTTAGCAGGGCCCGGTTAGAAAGGCCTGACCTCTTTAGTCTGAGGCTGGACTTAGGATTCCAGGCCCTCCACCTGCTGTTCCCCGCTGGCCAGGACTCCCTGGGCCCAGCTCCCCTTAACTACTCAGTCACCTCCTCTGCCCAATCCTGCTTTCTTCTGGTCCTGTTAGCTGTTGATCTCAATACAACTCGTGCCCCTCACTCCTCTATCTCAGCACCTGCTTCTGGAGGGCCCAACAGGGATACTTTCCAAAAACAAAGCTCTGAAAAGGTCTGAGGTGGCTTCAGTGACAAGACTAGAAAAGAGATAAGAAAGACAGAGGAGCTAGGTGAGCCCCTCCTGTGGCAGAACTGAACTTAGGGTACTGTTGTTTCCCCAAGACACTGCCCCAATGTGTTGACCAAGTCTAGCCCTGTTGACCGGTCCACATGAAGTTAACAACTCAGCATCTTCAAGGGGCAAACGGGTAGAATAAATATGTGTAAAGTGCAACGTGAAAGATATTAGGGACTGGTGGGGTCTGTAGCAAACTGGACATTTTATGCCCTGCCCAGAGACATTGAAAGAGATAGAAATAGAGATAAAGATAGAAACACACACACACACACACACACACAAACAAACACACATACACACAAACACACACACACAACATTGTTATTTCCATTTTGGCAAAATATATATATATATATATATATATATATATATATGTATATATCTATGTCCAAATTCCCTCTGAGATGCTGGTTTGTGGCCCTGTACTAAAGGAAAAGTCTTTAGCTTTTTGCCTCAGTTTCTGGGTCTGTTAATAACACCCACTTGGTATGTTTGTTTCGACAGCTGAAAAAGTTAATCCCTTTAAATAATTTAGTATAGTGCCTAGCACAAAGAAGCATTCAGTCACTCCAGTGACTGCTCTAATCATTACCTTGATTTTCAATAAAAGAAATAAAGAATCTTACCAGTCTCACCACTGCCCTCACAGAGCAAAGCAACGCTATCGGCCAGGCTCGGCTGCCAAGACCTGGCTTTGAGAGTCAAGTGCCACCACTGGAAAATATGTATTTATAGACGTCCTGAACCAATTGATATTTCAAACTCCCTTCTTTCCCACCGCATGAAAGCCTCACTTATATTTTAGTTCAATTGTGGGAACTGATTATTGCAGAGTAAATACTCCAGGATGGTGGCCCTGTTAAAACATTGCCCTAATGAGCAGGCATGGAGCCCTTTTCTGGATAATTTATATATATATTAGAAAGTATTTTCAAAGTAATATCTCTGGCTCTAAATATTTTATGGTCAGTCTTGAGCAGTTTTTTGGGGGTCCAGGTCTCCATAGATGCCCAACAGGGCACAGTAGAGTATGGGAAGCAATTTTCCAAGAGTAATGAGTTCTGCTGTGGCTGCTGGATGACGCAACTGGGCAGCAGGCACTCAGGGCAAGCCTCTGCTGGGTGGCAGGGAAGGCCAAAAGCTGGCGGGATGACTGTTGTCTCTGCAAAGCAACTGCACAGTGAGTTGAGGGACTAAATACACGAAAGTCATTGTCATCACCATGCTGAAGTGGTAAATGACAGTCAAAAGTAGACATTTTAGCATTTCTATACCTTTTCCATTAGAATTTTTTGGCAATTAAAAATTTTAAAGCTTATGGATTCTAGTCTATAATAACAGAAATAATTTCAGATGATAAGATATCTGGTTTGTTTCTAACGCTGGCTGCACTATTTTATTAGCTGCCCACCTTGAGTTACTTAGCCAGGACTGGAGGGCTGGACCTCAGCTTGCCTCCTCCCTGTCTGGTGTTCCCTTCACCCCAGCACTGCTCTTCCCTTCAGCCTCACCTTCCTCCCTGAGAGTGCAGTCTGCGTGTCTCTTGCAACCACACAACAAGCAAAGGAAAGCAGGACAAATGCCTGGGGACTACTTACTGTGGGTGCAGCTGCTTTGCTTTGAGATGATGCTCCTATCAGGGGATGTGTGGGCAAGTCCCAGCCTAGGAGCTTGTCCAGCCTCTGCCACCATGGTATTCGTGTTCTGTGAGAGCTCAGATCCCCACTGGTATGAGGAGGGATTCTCTTAGCATTCTAGATGGTCCTGTCCTCAGGGTCACCAGGCAGGCTCCCAGAGAAAAGGCCCTGCCCTGCCCATCCTGAACCAAAACCCTCTCTCCCCAAATCCAAACACGTAAAACATCACTCACATTTTCTTGGATAATTTCTGGGACATAGACATGTCTTTTCTTCTCTCTGCATAGCTATTTATCTGCTTTCACTACTTGAACTTCAGCTAAACTATATATACCAGCTTTAAAAGTTTGAACCTTATTGTGCATAAACATTTTTAGAATCCAAACTTGTGTCTGTTCTGCAGACTGCCTGATCCTTTGTGAGACAGTCAATGAGTGTGACATGGAGGATGGGGCCCCCACTCTAAAAGCAGCCCCTCAGCCCCACCCCAGGTAGCTCATCCAAGACTTCCTATGGCACCGGCCTTACTGACCTTTTGTGAACGGAGAGAAAGCCACGTGCAGGGGAGGTCCCGAGCCTTCTCCTGTAATTACCCTCCACTTCCCTCTCCCTTTTCTCTTCTCATCCTCCTCTCAGCGGTCACTCTGCAGGTCTCCGGGTTCTGCTTCCTTCAGTTCACTCTGTCATGTACGGAGCATCTAACCTGTACCCCACCATGGCCTGGGTGCCGCCGGCTCAGGCCACGAGGAATAAGAACCACTTCCTGTCGTCCACCTGCTCCCAGGCTGATCAGGGCTAACGAGCTCAGCAGCAGTGACTCCATGCTGGACAGTGCTAGGGCTTTGTCCTAGATGTGACCAGTGCTACAGGGACACAGAGAAGAGGGGACAGGAAGGACTGGGGTGGTGTTAAGCAAAGATGACAGAGGAAGGCATTCCAGAGAGACGTGCCAGTGTGAGCAAAGGCACAGAGACAGAAACCTCTGGCCCAGTGTGGGCGAAGGATGCTCAGTGGAGATTCAGTTAGAAAGGTGGTGGAAGAGACTGCTGTGAATCAAACGTCAGAAGATTGTGTGGTCAGCAGAATTCTTGGGTGGTCACCAAGATCCCCTTCTCATGTACATACCTTCTCCACAT